TGACTCTGGGCTTGGGCGCTGTCCCTAAGCATTTCAGCTCAAGGCTAGCGCTTACCCCTTGAGCCACAGTGCTACTTCCAGTTTTCTAGTGGTTTATTGGAGATCAGAGTCTCACAGACTTTTCCTTTCAGGGCTGGCTCTGAACCATGATCCTCAGATCTCAGCCTCCTGGTAGCGAGGATTACAGGTGTAAGCCACTGGGATCCGGATTCTCTGATGTTAAATGATAGGCTTCCCTCTCCTGTGTGTGTGTGTGTGTGTGTGTGTGTGTGTGTGTGTGTGTGTGTGTACACACGCGCACGCACGCACATGCACTTATATTTATTTTGTAGTGCTGGGGATTGAACTTGAACTCAGGGCTTACTAACACTTGAGCTAGAAGGCCAGACTTTTTTTTTTTTTTTTTTGTGGGTCGTGAGGCTTGAACTCTGGGCCTGGGTGCTGTCCCTCAGCTCTTCAGCTCAAGGCGAGCACTCTACCACTTGAGCTACAGCACCACTTCTGGTTTTCTGGTGGTTTATTGGAGATAGGAGTCTCATGGACTTTCCTGCCCTGGCTGGCTTTGAACCAAGATCCTAGATCTCAGCCTCCTGAGTAGTTAGGATTACAGGCATGAGCCACTGCCGCCCGGCTAGGCCAGCCCTTTTGTTTTATTTTTTGAGAGTTTTGCTGCTACCTTTGCCAGGGCAGGCAAATTGAGATCCTCTGGCCTTTATTTCCTAAGTAGCTGGGATTATAGACATGAGCCAGCATGCTTGGCTTCTTTTTTTGGGGGGGGAGGGGAGTGGGTCCAGTTGTGGGGCCTGAACTCTGGGCCTGGGCACTGTCCCTCAGCTCTTTAGCTAAAGGCTAGTGCTCTACCACTTGAGCCACAGCGCCACTTCCGGCTTTTTTCTTTCTTGCTTATGTGGTGCTGAGGAATCGAACCCAGGGCCTCATGCATGCAAGGCAAGCGCTCTACCACTGAGCCACCTTCCCAGCCCTCTTATATTTATTTTTAACAGTGCAAGCCTTGTCTCCACAGTTCAAAGAAAGGTCCTGGGAGGGTGAGGAGAAATTTCCCTTCCTTTTCCTTCCCTTCCATTCTCTTCCTTTTTTTCTTTTCTTTTTTTTTTTTTTTTTTTAATTTTTTTGGGTCCGGTCATGGGGCCTGAACTCTGGGCCTGGGTGCTGTCCCTCAGCTCTTCAGCTCAAGGCTAGTGGTCTACCACTTGAGCCATAGCGCCACTTCCGGCTTTTTTCTTTTTGCTTATGTGGTGCTGAGGAATCGAACCCAGGGCCTCAGGCATGCAAGGCAAGCCCTCTACCACTGAGCCACTTTCCCAGCCCATCTTCCTTTTTTTTGCAGTGCTAGAGATGGAATCCATTGCCTTGTGCATACTAGGCAAGTCTCTAATTCTGAACTACCAGCCCCTGAATTTCATTTCTATTTTTTTTTTGGGGGGTCCGGTTGTGGGGCCTGAACTCTGGGCCTGGGCGCTGTCCCTCAGCTCTTCAGCTCAAGGCTAGTGCTCTACCACTTGAGCCACAGCGCCACTTCGGCTTTTTTCTTTCTGCTTATGTGGTGCTGAGGAATCGAACCCAGGGCCTTGAGCATGCAAGGCAAGCGCTCTACCACTGAGCCACCTTCCCAGCCCCTTCATTTCTATTTTTGTTGAATCTGCTGTTATTCTAATCATGATGTGAATATAATCATAGGGCATATAATTAACTGGAGTTTAACAGTCTGATTTTCTCCCTAGCTGACCACTGATTCCACCTTTTTCTTCTATTTGCTCCCACCTCTGCTTCTTCCAGGCAAGCCCTGGGGCTTGAACTCAAAGCCTATGCTGTATTCAAAGCTAGTGTTCTATCACTTGAGCCACAGCTCCACTTCTGGCTTTTTGTTGGTTAATTGGAATAAGAATCTCATGAACTTTCCTGCTCTCACTGGCTTTGAACTGTGATCCTCAGATCTCAGCCTCCTGAGTAGCTAAGATTACAGGTGCAAACCACCTGAGACGGGCAGCTTCTACTTTTAACTCAAGTAGTCCCCAAATGTATTTTTCCTTTCTTTTGTTGGTTTCTGTCATTAGATTCAGTGTATACTTACAGAGCTTCCAACTGTAGACAGCTGGAGAAGGGCAAAATAAAAATAGCCAATTGGTCGATAACAGAATGGGAGAATATCTGAGGACACAGTGGGAGGATAATTCAGGCTGAGGCCAGCTGGAAGAGATGAGGAGGGCTGAGCAGAAACCTTCCTGAAAGCTTGGCTTGCTTTGAGGCAATGCAAATGGTTACTGGAGATAGGGAAAGAGCAGTGATCTTTTGTCATGTCTTGGTCAGTGCCCATTGTGAGGCTCCTGTTCTCTAAAAATCTGGCCTGCTGGATACAATATGGATATGCAGTAAGATACCAACTTGCCAGGATTTTCCTCAGGCTGTCTGTCTACAGAATTATCTGCCCCTGCTAATAGAATAGAGCTTGCTTAAATCAGGCTTCTACCACTATGCCTCCTTTTCCTCCTCCACAACTCTGTATAATTCTATTGTTCCTCTCTGATTAGGCTACGTGTGTGTGCTCATGTATACCAGTATTGGGGCTTGAACTCAGAGCCTGAACCCTGTCTCTTTAGTTTTTTTGTTTAAGGAGGGTGCTCTGCCACTTGAGCTACATCTCTACCTCCAGGTTTTTTTCTTTTTTTCTGGTTGTGGGGCTTGAACTCAGGGCCTATGCACTATGCCTGAGCCTCTTTGTGCTCAAGGCTAGTGTTCTACCACTTAAGCCAAAGTGCCACTTCTGGTTTTTTGAGTGGTTAATTGGAAATGAGTCGCAGGGGGACTTTTCTGCCCAGGCTGGCTTCCAACCACAATCCTCAGATCTCAGCCCAACTACGTCCAGTTTTTTAGAGATTAATTGGAGATAAGAATCTCACAGGCTGGGAATGTGGCTTAGTGGTAGAGTGCTTGCCTAGCATGCATGAAGCTCTGGATTCTATTCCTCAGTACCATATAAACAGAAAAAGCCAGAAGTGGTGTTGTAACTCAAGTGGTAGAGTGCTAGCCTTGAGCAAAAGAAGTTTAAGGACAGTGCCCAGGCCCCAGGACTGGCCAAAAAAAAAAAATATATATATATACACACACACACACACACACACACACACAATCTTACAGACTTAAGCCAGGCATGAGTCACCATGCCTACTCTGGAGTCTGAGATCTGAAGACTATGGTTCAAAGCCAGCCTGAGGAGGACAGTCTTTGAGACACTTATCTCTAATTAACCACAAGAAAACCAGAAGTGGGTTCTGTGGCTCAAAGTGGTAGAGCACTAACCTTGAGCACAAAAGCTCAGGTACAGTGCCCAGGCCCTGAGCTTAAGCCCATAACCAATAAAGACCAACCAAAAAACAAAACTCACAGACTTTCCTGATTGGGCTGACTTTAAACTATGATCCTCAGATTTCAGCCTTCTGAGTAGCTTGGATTATAGGCGTCAGCCACAGGCGCCAGTGTCTGCTTAGGCTTTTTTGCAGCTGGTATTGATTGTTGCTTTTATTGGCAAACTGTATGCCAAAATAAAAATAAGCACAGTATTGGTGCCAGGAGTCAGTAAAGTGCTCTTTGTATCCAGGGCTGGTAAAAGATTCGCTCCAAGACTCAGTGGCCAATCTAGACTGTGGTCATCTCAGTGCACCTCTGCAATTATTATAAAGATGTTTGTCTATCTGTCTCCTTCCCCTCACAGGGCTGGCATCTGTGGTCATCCCCACACAACCTGGTGCTTGGCTCTCCAACATAGCTCATGAATGACATTGAGGTAGAGCTGTCCAGGAAGTCAGGGCTAAACCAACAGCCGCACCTCTCTGCTTATTTCCACATGCAGCTGCCCCAGCTGTCCAGTCACCACAATTTGGGGTTAGGGGTTTGGTTCTGGAAGGGCAGGCAGAAGCAGCAACTACTATTACTACATAGCCAAAGACTTCACAAAGAGCTGTCCTGTCATGTCTAAGTGAACTGTTCCCACAAGCTTAGCCAACTGATGGTGTATGAGCATTCTTGCTCTCATTTACAGAGGAACAAATGGGCCAGCGATAGCCATCTGGCAGCACTATGAGTTGCGATCAGGTTCCGTTTCTCCATTTGTGGAATGGGTATGTCTACGGGTGTATGGCGTTTTCTGCTCTAAGCACGCGGAAACTTTAGCTTGTTGACTTTGACATTGTGGAAGCATGAAGTGTCTGGCATGTAGGAGATGTTCGATAAACAAATACTTGTGCCTACATGGAAATGACAGGACTTAAGCCTAAGACAGCGTCTGGTTCTTCTATAACCTTTGTCTCCCAGATTTGCTTTCCATGCTGGTTAACGTATTCGGCTGGGAGATATGACGACCTATTTCTGGCCTTGGGACAAAAACAGAAAGGAAAAAACAAACAAACCAGCAGCGAGAAGGCTAGAGAAGTCTCCAAGGGGCAGGCTGCCATGCCAAACCTAAAGCTTTCAGTTCCCCTTTTCTTTTTCTAAACCAGGAAATGCATTTTTCTCACAGCGCCTGCAGACAGCCCAGGGCAAAGCTGCTGGAGAGCTAGCGGGGGAAAGTAGCACTCTAGGCCGAGGAGCAGAGGAACAGGAACCGCGTGGCCGGCTGCAAGGCTTGACTCCAGCGGAACACAGCGAGCCCCTGCGCGGGCCGAGCGCTAGGAAAGGAGGCGAAAGCCGGGTGGGGCAAGAGGCGAAAGCCAGGGCGCTCGACCTCGTCCTCCAGCGCCCCTGCGCGGCTCCACCTTAAGCTCCCGGACCCCCTTAAGGGCGGGAGCGGGAGAGGCACGCTCGGGGCGGGGCCTCGCATGCAAATAAGGGGCGTGGGGCTTCGGGGCGGGGCGGCCGAGCGCTGATCTGACGTCAGGCCCGCGGCCCGGGCAGTTGGCTCGGCGGCGGCGCAGGGGCAGGAGTGTCGGCGCCGAGTGGGGCCGCGCGGCGGGGCGCGGGGAGCAGCGGCGGCGAGCCGGAGCAACATGGCGCCGGTGGGCGGGGGCGGGCGCCCGGGCGGCGGGCCGGCCCGAGGGCGCCTCCTCCCGGCGGCGCTGGTGCTGCTTGTGCTGCTGTGGGCGCGGGGGGCCGGGGGCGAGGGCAGCCCCCATCGGGGTGCGATCGTGGGCATGAGGCTGGCGAGCTGCAACAAGTCATGTGGGATGAACCCGGATGGCATCATCTTCGTGTCGGAGGGCAGCACGGTGAACCTGAGGCTGTACGGCCAGAGTCTGGGCGATGTCTCCAGCAATCTGATCTCTTTCACCGAGGTGGACAACGCGGAGACCGCCCACAACTCCACCAACTGCCTGGAGCTCACCAAGGACCTGGTCGTCCAGCAGCTGGTCAACGTGAGCCGCGGGAACACGTCCGGGATGCTGGTGGTGCTCACCAAGTTCCTCCGGAGGAGCGAGAACATGAAGCTGTATGCTCTGTGCACCCGGGCACAGGCTGACGGGCCTTGGCTCAAATGGACAGACAAGGACTCACTGCTCTTCATGGTGGAGGAACCCGGGAGGATCTTGCCACTTTGGATGCACATTCTCCTGGTTTTGGTGCTTCTCGTGTTGTCGGGCATCTTTTCTGGCCTCAACCTGGGGCTTATGGCCCTGGATCCCATGGAGCTGCGCATCGTGCAGAACTGTGGCACTGAGAAAGAGAGGCGATATGCCCGCAAGATCGAGCCAATCAGACGCAAGGGCAATTACCTGCTCTGCTCTCTACTCCTGGGGAATGTGCTGGTCAACACCTCCCTTACCATCCTCCTGGACAACCTCATTGGGTCTGGCCTTATGGCCGTGGCCTCCTCCACCATTGGCATTGTCATCTTTGGCGAGATCTTACCTCAGGCCCTGTGCTCCCGACATGGGTTGGCAGTGGGTGCCAACACCATCGTTCTTACCAAATTCTTTATGCTGCTCACCTTCCCCCTCAGTTTCCCTATTAGCAAGCTCTTGGACTTTTTTTTGGGTCAGGAGATTCGCACAGTTTACAATCGGGAGAAGCTGATGGAGATGTTGAAGGTGACAGAACCCTATAATGACCTCGTGAAAGAGGAGTTAAATATGATCCAGGGTGCCCTGGAGCTGAGGACCAAAACTGTAGAGGATATCATGACCCAGCTCCAGAACTGTTTCATGATTCGAAGTGATGCTATTCTGGACTTCAACACTATGTCAGAGATTATGGAAAGTGGTTATACCCGCATTCCTGTGTTTGAAGATGAGCAGTCTAATATTGTAGATATTCTTTACGTCAAAGACTTGGCTTTTGTGGATCCAGATGACTGCACCCCCCTCAAGACCATCACCCGCTTCTACAACCACCCTGTGCACTTTGTTTTCCATGACACCAAATTGGATGCAATGCTGGAGGAGTTCAAGAAGGGTAAGGACTGATACAGTAGCCCAGTTAAAAACATATATTTTTGTAACTCCTCCTAACCTCTTGGGTGTTTTGGGTCTGCTGATTTTAGCGTTCTACTCATGTGACTCTGTCCCTTTGCCTATCACTTCCTATGCCTCAGTGCTGTTGGGCATAGTGGAAACTGTTCTTAAGCATTTATCATTCACCAGGTACTGTGCTTTGTGCTTCAGCTGAATCAAAGCTGGAAAGGCACAGTTGCAAATCTGTAGGAATAGACCAAGACCATAGGGAGCAGGACAGAGTAAAGCCTTAAAAAGTGGAGTGGCTTGGTACTAGGGCCAGAACCCTTTGGTGAAGCCAAAGAAGTGTTTGTGACTCAGCAGGTACTCCTGTTTAGCTAACATAATGGCCCTTGCAGATCAGTGGTCAATGACAGAAAAGGCTAGAGTAATTGGAGCCTGGAATATATAGTAAGTTCAATTCTGAGTTTGGAACCCTGGAAGGTTTTTGAGCTGAGAGTGGCATCATTGGCACTCCAAAACTCACAGCAGAATTGAGAGGTCTCTAGTTGGCTCTCCTTTAAGACAATGTCGTTAACACTTTCTACTATTCAGCAGAAGCAAGCAGATTAAGTTTCAGTTATTGTTCTGTCTTTCCCACACACTGAACAAGCTTGTCTTCTCTGGTCTGTTGGGAATCTTCAATCTTCAGGGCTTTTTTTGGCCTGATCTCAGGTAGTTAGACACTTGAAGAGTTGACTCCCCAGCCTCAAAGCTCAGGGAACACACCCCTGTCCTTGTTTCCAACAAAACTTGCCTCCCACCTCTGCCACCCAGAAGCCCTCAGAGTGTCAGTAAACAAGTCAATTATGGAGCCAAACCCTCCTAGGCAGAAGGAAATGGGAAGGCAGAGGAAAGCTCTTTGAAAAGGAATTGGGGATGAGAGAAGCTTCTTCTAAACTTAAGACAATTGCTTCTTAGACACCACCTTAACCTTCTTTTCAGAGATACTACTGGCTGAGGCTACTACTGAACTCTAGCTACGAGCAAGCCTACGGTCATTCCTGGATCAGAGAGTGGATGATAGCCTGGGCGCAGGATAGGGAAGGAGAAGCTGGCCTTGCCAGGTTTTGTTTGAAAAGATGCCCTGGTCATTGTTGAGGTCAGGGTAGCAAGTTGTGACTATCCCCTTTTAACTTTGCCAGATAGACTCTCAGGATCATATCTGAGAATGACTTGAGAATTTAAACTAGAGTGGAGACAGCCCAGGTGACAGTGTCACTCATACTAGAGGGACATAGATTCCTGGTGGTGATGACAGAGTCTGGGAGATGATTTTGTGGTGCAAGCCTACTGGTGTGCCCCACTTCCACCAGGCAGCTAGGATCCTGAAGACCTCCTCCTCTGTGGCTGGTCAAGAACCTTGAGAACTCATGGGATGGCCTCCTCCTCACCTACTGTGGTCTTTATGATTGTTACTGGTGACACACCCTACAGACTTTCCCATCAGTTCAGCAGGATCTGGATCCAGCCTGTATTGATTGACCTAGCTTGGTTTCCAGCCCTTGAAGGCAGGGCAGAACTCTCATGTGTGGGAGCTTCCAGGTCTTGGCAGGACCATCTTTGGACCCTATCTTGTGAAGAAGTGTCTTTTTATTAAGCTGGGAAATGGAGCTAGAACTTAGGCTAGAACTCTGCTAAGCTGAACTCTTCAGATCCAGTTTGATTCACCAAATTCTCTTTGACAGAGGCCGGTAGCCTGAGCCTTGCAGGAGTATTGGCAATTCCTGGAAAAGTAAACCCAATCTACCAAGTATAGTAGGTCGCCCTGGAGATGTGAATTTAATGGGGTAGTCTTATGCTATCCCTTCCTGGTTCCAGAGGTCTTGGAAGACCTAGCGCTAGTGATCATAAATAATCACACCAGCTTCCTTCAGTGTGGCCTCTCCCAAATCTTTCCATCTGGCATCTTTATTCTGAAGCTACCCAGGACATAGAAAACACCTAGCTTATGGCTGTAGCTTAAAAGTTTTCTTTGTAAGTTTAATGTTTGAAGGCTATATCTATGGTATTAGGATTTGAACTCCTGGCCTTGCATTTGCTAGACAAGCACTTTGCTACTTTAGCCACACTTCCAGTCCTGAAGAAGGCTTTTTTTGGGAAGAAAAGTGAACAAGTTCAGCACAGTACTGTAGCAGCACCAAAATTAGAGCTGGCATGATTCAGAGGGTTTTTGCCCTACACCCAAAATTTGGGTGCAGAGCCCTTCTGTACCTGCTTGGTGGTGGGTAAGCTGCCTTATTAGTTTTTTCAGTACTCAGTTCTTAGCTAAGACATGATCTTCAGTGCATGTTTGTTGAATAGGTGAGCGAATAAACAAATGAATGGGTGACTGTCTGAGAAGACTGGTTTCTGTTCCTTGAACATATTAGTTCTTTCCCAATTAGGGCTTTTGCCTTGGCTGTTCTCTCAGATGAGAATGTTCTTTCCCAGATGTAATGCTGGCTTATTCTTCTCTCCTCCAAGTCACTCTAGCATCACCTTATTGAGGCCTTTTGGTCATCAACCTGTTGGAGCCTATAATCCTCTCCCATTCCTTTTGACCTTCCCAATCTCTCCTGCCCCACAATCTCCCCTACCCTGGGCTAATTTTTCTTGTTCTCATAGCACATCTCATTCTCCAACATCTGCGTAGCTTATTGACTTGTATTGTTTGTCCCCTCCTACTACAATATAAGAAAGAGCAGAACTCATCAGAAGGTCACTGATGTATCTTTTGTCCCTAGAATGGCACTTGACATATAGTAAGGACTCAGTGAATAAATGAGTGAATAAATGAATGAACAGATGACCTGTCAGGTTTGGGAGAGAATGACTCTCATCCCAGAATTGTTGGGATTTCTAGGAGCTGATGTAGGATAAAGTAAAATGGATGTTATATCAGGGGCTTGACCTTTCCAGCTGCCTCCTGGAGAGTCTGAGGAAGCTCTTGTGGTAACATATATTAATGGCTCAGGATGCCCGGAGAAGCAGAATTTGGGCTTTCAGTGTGATGTTTGGATCTTTTTTCTGTTTGTCTGAAAGTAGTCTTTGGCCATGGGGAGTTTCCATAGTCTTCCTCATTAATATGAAAGTGCTCCTGCACACCCAGAGGCTGGCTGAGGAGTCAGTGCAGGCATGTAGGGGGCTGAGTTGCCCCTAGAACTAAAGCAAGAACTTCTTTCATAAGTTGTGGTGGCCTCTTAGTTTAAAAGCATTAGCATGAGATGCTTTTTGACCCCTCCTGTCTCAGGCAGAACATAATGCCAGGTGCTGTAGGATCTCAGCAGTAAGACTCTTGTGGTACCAAGACATGCCAAGCAGTCAGGCACGGAGGCTCATGTGGTTTGAACCTTGGCCTTTCTACTGGAACCTCTCCTAGAACTGTTTGCAATACTGGGGTGTTGTCCATAACTAGGAATCCTCGAACAATGACACCCTGCTCCTCCTGGTCCAGTTGGCATTTTGCCTCCACTTCAGATTCTTTTGTAGACCCTAAAGTTAAGTTATATGAATGAACTCCCCAAGTGGAGCTTCCGGGGCTCAAGCCCCACTTGAGCCTACCTTTTAGCTTCTCCTGTGCCCCCTCCCCACATTCCTGCCCCTCCCAGGTACTTAACTCATCCTTAGCCTTCTTATCTTTCCCCACCCACCTTATAACCTTCTAGCCCACTGTATGGAGCTGGATATAAACCCCACCCAGCTGGGGCACTGACTTATGAGGTGACCTTGGACTTGGTACTACTACTCTCAGCAAATTAGTGGGGTATACTTTGGAAGGGAAAGAAAAATAGAAATAGTTTCTCTAAAAAAAAATCTCTCCCATAGTTCCATCTGGGCCATGTCAGATTTTCCTCACTTAACTTTATTCCTGGCACAACTTCATACAGTCAAAACAACACTGCATGTTTTTTTCATTCCCTTGGTTCCTCACCTCTGACACATTCTCAGTAACTTATCCTCCTACCCCCCACCCCACCCGAATCTGCTTGTTCATTCATTTGTTCAACAAGCATCTAACTTTTTGTACAGCCTGTGTGTCAGACACTGTGCTGGCTGTTGGGGATCAGAGGTGAATAAATCAGTCCTGTTTACAGAACTTACTGTCTACCAGGAAGGTGGATGTGCAAACCAAGACTTGGCTATGCTGAATGCACTGATAGAGGTACAAGGGGCTGAGGGAAGGTCAGATTAATGTCAGAGGTTTCTAGCTTGAGATTTAGATGATGTTATTTGTTTATTTATTTTATTTCATTTTTTGGTGCCAGTCCAAGTCTTGAACTCAGGCTGGGTGCTGGCCCTGAGCTCTTTTGCCCAAGGCTAGTACTCTACCACATTAAACCACAGTACTACATCCAGTTTTCTGGTGGTTAATTGGAGATAAGAGTCTCCATCTTTCCTGCCTGGGCTGGCTTTGAACTGGGATCCTCAGATCTCAGCCTCCTAAGTAGCTAGGATTATTTATAGGCATGAGCCACCAATGTCTGGCTATTTTTAAAATTTTTTGTGATGGTACTGGGACTTGAACTTAGGGCCTCTGGCTGTTACTTGGCACTCTCTCTCTCTTTCTCTTTCTCTCTCTCTCTCTCTCTCTCTCTCACACACACACACACACACACACACACACACACACACACACATACACACACACACACACACCAGTCCTGGAGCTTGAACTCAGGGTCTGGGCACTGTCCTTGAGCTTCTTTTGCTCAAGGCTAGCACTCTATCACTTGAGCCACAACACTACTTCTGGCTTTGTCTGTTTATGTGGTACTGAGGAATAGAACCTAGAGCTTCATGCATGCTAGGCAAGCACTCTACCATTAAGCCACATTCCCAGCCCTTGGCTTTTCCTCTTAAGGCTGGCACTCTACCACTTGAGTCACATTTCTGGCTTTTTGCTGGTTAATTGGAGATTAGAGTCTTACTGACTTCCTCCCCAGGCTGTCTTTGAACTGTGATCCTCAGATCCACCAGCAT